AAAGTGCCTTTCTTTTATTTTTAAAATTTTTAGACATTAGCCCTCATGAATTTTTATTATTTTTTTCATTTTTGTATCTTTTTATATTTTGCACTTATAATAATTTATTTATTTATTTATTTATTTAAAATAAGAATAAGCAACAAAACGGGGTGAGCCATTTACATTGTTGCACTATATGTATATTAATTTGTACTAATTACCCTATACATTTCGAATTTTATTTTTATTGTCTATAAGTTGTTAATAAATCATCAACACGGAACATTAAATCTAGAACAGCCGTAGATCAGCCAAAGTTAAGAGGAGTTGAAGATTGAAATTATTCGGTTCAATGAATAAATTTTAAGGCTGATCCCCGACTTTAAATGCAGGTAGAAGAAAAAAGAAAGAAAAGAAAAATTACATAGGCTGATTGATATTTTCGTTGATTTTTGCATATACTTTTTTCTTTTTTACTCATTAGAATTTTTCATAATTTCTGTATGAACGGAAATTAATAAATTAATTTTAAATATTTTGAGTCAAAAATGGAAGTTCTATGTTAAATAAATTTTTAAATTCTAAATTAACTACATAATTATTTTAAATTTTAAATTGTCGGAAAAAGCATTAAATATGTATGTTATAAAATAAAGAAAAAAATAAAAATTCTTTAAAATATTCAATGGCGATTCAATTATAAAATCCAATGCCATGAGTCAAGACATTTTTTATCACTAACAGATTTTAACTGATTAAATCATTTTTAAAATAATTCTCAATCATTCAACTTCAACTTCTTCCAATTTAATTTTAAAATCATTATGATCTTCTTCAATCATTTTAATAAACTCTTCTTCCTCCATCTCAATTTTATGTGTTAATTTACATAATTTAATATCTTCCAAATAATTAATTTCAATAATTACAAATCTTCCCAGATTTATTTCTTTTATTTTCCGAAATTTGATCACTTTCTTATCAAAATAAAATTTGTTCAAGTTGAAATTAAGGAAAAAATTTTCGAGTAGATGAGTAGTCGAATATATTTTTTTATATTTGTATTTCATTATTCTTTTTAATTCTACTCCAGTCAAAATTAATGGTTTTTCATTCAAATAAACATTAAATATTTTAACTGAAAATAATTTATATTTAATTACATACACTATCCCAAAATTATGAGTTCACCACTAAATTGCATTATATTATGTTTGCAGATATAATATGTTTTAATTTTTGTCTTAATATTGCAAATTGTCTAAGAACTTGCAATATGTTTCAAAATAAGCTAAATAAACATATATTAAAAAATATTTGGAGTTTGTAATCTGCAAACCATATTATGATGAAATTTAGTGGTGAACTCATAATTTTGAGACAAAGTGTATTTATAGGGTAAGGTTGATGAAATTTGACTTGACGGGCTAACTCAGACTTGCACACGGATACGGATATGGATACAAATAATATCAAAATGCCTGCGGATATCCGTCTGTATCCGCCCGTATCCGCCGTAAATATCCGGATACGGATACCAAGATCAGTATCCGTGTGCAAGTCTGGGCTAACTCATCGACACACAGATCAAGGAACGGCAATTAGAATTTTAAAAAATTTTGAATAAAAAAATATTCTGATTTAAAAAATGCAGACAAAATTGAAAATGCAGAAAGTTCCATGAGTTGGTCGTTCCTTAATTTGTCTGTTTCTTGACTTTGTAAAGCTTGAGTTACCCCTCACCCGGAATCTGATATCAGGATTTGATATTTAAACAGGGGAATTCTGGATTAGTAAAAGTAAAACCTGAATTTTTTGTTGGGTCTATTTTCTTTATTTTATTAAAAGTTGTTTTGATTGTTTTCAATTTTATGCCATTTGCTTTGTACCTGCTTCTCGTGTTCTTTTATTTAAAATCGAATATAGTGGGATCTCGATAATCTGAAACCCTCGGGACCGAATTTACTTTACGTATGCAGAAAGTGACGTGTTATCTGGAATTAGTATTATCGAGGTCCTATTGCTTTAATAGGGGCTTTCTTTGTTTCATATTTTATTCTAAAATTATATATGGTCAAGGAACTGATTTAAAAAAATATTTTTTATGTTCTATAAGCTTTTTTGTGTTTGCCTCGATAATTTTTAATTTTTGGAAAAATGATAATCGAGGTCCACATCATAGATAAAGAGGATAATAAGAGGGAAAAGAGATTTGGGAGGATAAGGAGGATTAATATATACATACATACTTTGATCATTTTCTGAAAATTATTTTGAAATTTTATTAAATCGATTTTTAACAAAAACATACACGTATTTGTTCTTCTTTGAGTTCAAATTCTTTAGATAATTCAGTAATATCATAGTTAGTATGTGGTGGTATTCCATAAATTAATTTATCTAATTTAATTTCCTATAATTTTTTTAAAATTTAATATGAATTCTGTTTAAAAACAAACATATTTTGTCAATTCAAGTAGCTCTCCACCTATTAAATTTTTAAATTTTATTTTTACGTATTTTATAAAGCGACTTGGTCCCTGAGTCGCTTCGAATGACCAAGCGACTTGGTCATTCGACTTGGTCTCTGAGAATCAAACCGTCCTCACTAAAAGTCAAACATTCAAATTACCTTCCAATCTAATCCCTTCCTTTAAATTATCAATTTGTTTTTTAATTTCCATTTTTTCGTCCTCATTACCCTTTATTTTAATATAACTTTCCAATAATTTAATTTTATATGCATTTAAATTAATTAATGTCCAATGATTTTTTTCCAATTCTTCTTTGTAAATTTTTATTTTTTCTTTTGGTGTAATTTTGGATTTTGTTTCTATATGCTTATTGTTTTCTAAAATGCTGATTTCACATTCGAATTTAGTTAATTTTCTTTCAATTGCCTTAAATATGTCTTTAATAATTAAAAATTACGCAATTTAGAACTTCGCCCCTCCCCATTTTAGATATTTCTCCAAATCCTCTGATATCTCTCCGAATCAACCTTAATCCCTGTAAATCCCCGATATTCATCTATCGCTTATATCCACCGATATCCTCCTCAACCCTTAGCGCCGCAGGCGAAAATTTTGGGGATTACGTAAAGCCAAAAATTCAGAGTTCTTTCTTTTATGGAAATAATTTCTAAGAAAATTTCGGTTTCGGGTCGGATATTGGTTTTCTTTCGGTTCGGCATCAGTTGTGTAAGGTAGAAAATTTTTGTTATGTTACTTGTTTTAGCAATGGACAAATTAATTCATCAACAATGCCATCTTTGGTAATCTCTATTTCTGGTGAATAATAATTCACTTTTCTATATACTAAATAATAATTTATATCCTTATTTGTTTTTAAATATTCTCCAATTAAATTTTTGAAATAAAAACGTTCTTCTGGATTTTTATTTTTTAAATAATTATATTCTCTCTTTTCTAACCAATCTGAATTAATTTTTACTTTGATTTCATTATCGTTTGCCAAAATGTTATAATTTTTTAAATAGATTATAAGTAAAATAAAGAATATATAAATAATATTCATTTCATTTTAAATTAACAAAAAAAATTTTTTAAAGTAAAATTAATAAAAATCAACAAATGCGATAGAGAAATTATTGGGAAAGAGGTCTCTCGTGATTTGTATGTTATTTATTGTCGCATGATTCAAAGCGGCTTTTCACGTACATATTAGTGATGTTCGAGAGTCAAAAAATCCCGAGAGTCGAGAGTCGAGACCGAGACCGAGAATCAACCCCGAGACCGAGACCAAAACGAGAGTCGAGAGTCGAGACCGAGAGTCGAGACCGAGAGATTAAGAGGGATATCACTTGATGTCCCTCCTAATCCCCAAAAATCCCTTGATATACCTCAAAATCCCCATACTCGCTTGAATCCACTTGTCCACAATATATATTCAATGATATTCACATTAATCTCTTAAAATCCCCTCATATCCTTCCATATCCCTACAAATCCAACAATATCTTTTTGATCCATCGATGCACCCATCCCTTGATATTAAATTTTATCCTTCAGAATCCACAGTATCTAATATACCACAAACCACAAAATCTAATCCTTTAATCTTATTAAATTCAAATTTTTGCTGCATTTTTGGCGCCGCAGGCGAAAATTTTTTGAATTTTGGAGCTCAAGAAGCCAAATTTCCTCCATTTTCAGCGCCGCAGGCGAAAATTTTGAGAATTTTGGAGCTCAAGAAGCCAGATTTCTTCCATTTTTCAGCGCCGCAGGCAAAATTTTGGGAATTTTGGAGACTTTTCCTTAAAAATTTTAATATCAAAGTACGCAAGGTCCGAGTAAAGTTCAAAAAATTTCCGTCATTAGGGGTGTAAATTTAGTCTCGTTTTCCGAGACCAAAACACCGAGACCGAGACCGAGACCGAGAGCTCAAAAAACCCGAGAAATTTCTCGACTCGAGAGTCGAGACCGAGAGTCTCGAACATCACTAGTACATATGGACTTTATAAAAACAAGCTGTTTTCAAAAGGCGGCGCATTGCCCTTTTGTTATTTTTGACGAAATTAACGCAAAAAACGCAAAGAATATGAGTGATCTGAAGAAAAAAATGGAAGAAATCTGGCCGTACAAAATTCTCAAAATTTTCACCTACGGAGTTAAAAGAAGAAAGCCTTTATCTGAATACCAATATTCTGCAATCATGGAGAGGCTCAGAAAAACTTCAGCTCCGTATTCGGGTCTTTAAATCCACAATATCCCCGGCATCAATTCAAATTCACTGATATACATAATTTATTATCCTATATAACCCCAATTCACCTTATAATCCTTGCAATTCAGGGTATGCTAGAATGCCATCTTAATAAACTTTTGTTAGAAAAAATAATAGAAAATATTCTAGAAAATTTCTAAAAAAATATTGGCCTTCTAGAAAAAATAATCACACAAAATAATTTAAAATAATTTACTAAAAGTGAAATTATATATAAATTCAATCACCAATGTCAATCACAAAATTTTTAAGTAAATCTGTCAAGAAATAATTTATTGTTTCTCAAGAAATCGATTTATCACATCATCCAACGCCATTTCTAATGCTTCATTTGTGCCCTTTAATTGAAACACTACTTTCTTCGCCCAATTAAAATATTCCCGAGCGCCTTGCTTTCCAAAAGCCGGAGGAATGTGTCTTTCCAAATCACGCAAATTATAAAGTTTATCAGCCAACTTGACGAGTTTTGCCTTAATAAGGCGTAGAAAATGTTTTTAAAATTATTTATCGGTAATATCAAGGCGGTCCCCTCCCACCCCTTTTTTCTTCCTTAAGAAAGTGCATAATGGTCAATCCTTCTTTCTCAATTTCACTCACGTTTAAGCTTTTCATTGAAAGCGTTGTAGCTTAATGGAAGTTTTTCTTGAAGATTCGGAATAAATAGAGTGAAATTAATTGATCCAAACAAGTATTTGCGGCATATTTATGCGGACACATTTTTGCACAGGAATGGTCAAAGGCCTTCCTTCCTTGATTTTCTCAATTTTCCCTGTGGTATCATTCATTGAGAGCATCATTCATTGATACACTCCCCATTCGCCATACATAGAAAATGATTTTGAATGCCCATAAATATGTCCGCATAAATTGTCCGCAAAAATGAGTCCGCAAAACTACTTTGTGATAACCAATAAGTACCGAAATCTTTTTTCTTAAGAAAGAAAAAAAGTGAGGACTAGCCTTGGTATTACCTATTTGGTAATCTACTTTGTGTGAACATTTTGAAGCTTTTTCGACTTGCTCGTTTTTTCGTTCCTGTTTCGACAATTTTGTATTGTCTGTGCATTCAAGAACAATCTCTGCAATTTCAGTTCCAAATTCTTCTACTAACTCTTCAAATGTTGTTTTAGTATCCTCAATAGTATCATGCAAATAGGCTGCTGCAAGGGTTGCAGGATCGGTTATATTTCCAACACTTAAAGAATTTTGTTTATTAATAAGATGTGGAATTATAGCCAGTATGAGGTGTCTCAGGACTGGTGATGGGAATCTTGTAAAAGTTTAGTTCGCGTTTTCTTTTTATTTTTACCATTATCCCCAGCTTCTTTCAAAAGGTTCATAATGGTCAGACAGTAAATAGATATACCTATATAGAACACTTTAGAATTTTGGTTTATTAATAAGATGTAAAATAATATGGAAGTTAGAAATAGCCAGTATGAAAAAGTCTCAGGACCATAGCCATGATTTTTTTGGGAGGCCAAGTGGGGAAAATTTTTCCGCGCTGACTTTGGCCCCCTGGCTACGGGAGCCAAATCCCCTCTGGCTACGGGCTGCTCTGGACTGCTGAAGAGATTCTTGTAAAAGTTTAGTTTGTGTTTCCCTTTTTACTAAAATCCCCAGCCTCTCAAAAAATTCATAATGGTCAGACAATGGATAGAAATCTGAATCAATTTTATTAAAAAATTTATTTTTTAATCGAAAAGATGTAAAATGAAAATAGAGGAATTTTAAAAATAAGGGAACAACTGCCTAACTTCTACCGAAAATTTCTCTTGGGTTCCCCCCAAAAATCCCGACTATACATTCTTTAGGTAACAAAACCTCGTCAAAAGATAGGCAACTCCAACCGGATGGTTTATATAAGGTGTCCGGCCATCTCTTCTCATTTGAAAGCGATGTCTACGAGCTGCAAAATCTGCTGCTTTAATCACCTTAATCATATCCTCATTACTTTTAAGTTGCACATTTGGCTTTTCGTTAAGTTCCGGATAGAGATTAGACTTTTGAAAGCTCTCATTTTTCTCTTCCCCGTTCATCTAAAATAAATAAAATTTCACGTAAAAATTTAGCAAAACTATAAAAAGCACTAATAAAATGACAAAAAGCACTAATCTTTCTCTGCCGACTCTCCTAATTTTACCTACTCTTTTCTAAGAAAGGTTAGATTATCTAAAATTCATTTGGTCAAACAGTAAAAATTATAACCTTTTGTCTACTTATATTTAAGCCCTGATTTGCTGAAATTTTTATTTTTTACATAATATCAAATTTTTCATTTTTTTTCAACTTTTAGTTTCTACAACCTAATTATAAATATTCAATTATGGTTAAATACGTTTGGCTGAACTACAGTTTGATTTCATCTTGGGATGTTTCGGTGATTAATCAATTTAATCGAATTAATTAATCAATTAATCAAACCTGCGATGTCGCTGAGATGAAAAATCTGATAACTAACAATAAACATATCTTCATAACATTAAGTAATTTAGTGATTACCTAATGTGCCCATAACCACTTGTACTTTTAGGAGAAAAAGAAACAAAAGGAGAGTGGTGATGATTAACGGATAAATGCCAACAAAATTAGAAAAGACTTATTTCTGATGAACTGAATTTTCCTATGAATTAAATGAAGAGATTGGTCGAGCAAAATCAAGGTCTGAATATTTCTACAGGTTTTTAAAAATTCTTAGTTATGCAGTTGTGTTATGACCAAATGTTTCGTGGTCATTTTTCTGTTAACGTCGGCGGGTGTTTCCATGAATTTTGTTTGGAAGAAAAGTAGAGGTTTTATAAATGTTCTGTTCTAAAGGGAATTATGAATCGATTTTACTATTTCAAATTAATTATATTTTTAATTAAAATTATTTTGTCAAATATTTTTTAAAAATCCTGTCATATTTTTTGTCATAAATAGTAAATGATAACCAAAATAAAATTTTAAAATTATTTTAAAAATAAAAACAAATTTAAAAAAATTATTTTTTTTCTAAAATTGTGTTAAAAACATGGCTAAAAGGGGATTTTTAAGAGGGACATTTAAAAATGACAAAAATCAGTTGAGATAGTTATAAGTGAGGAGAGAGATCACAGCAAATATTTTTTACTTTAAGGCATTCTTCAATCATCTAAAAATTTAATTAAATATTAATTATTTTTAATTAAAAAATACCTGCAAAAGTGTCGTATAACCTCTCTACGACAGGTTTCACCTATAAAATTAATTAAATGTTTGGTTGGCAAAAAAATAAAATTATTTTTTTTTATTTTTCGATGACTCTAGAAAAATTTCTTAAACAAGGTTTGGAAGCCTAAAAAGGTTGATATGGACTAGCTATTCCCCTGCCCTTAAAACTAAAGGTTTCTATGTTTTTGGGATGACCCAATATCCTCAGTTAACCGGATTAGTGTATTATCCATTATAACAACGACGCATCCTGCGTAGCTTTAGTTAACTAAAAGATACAATAAAATTAAGAACCTTTGAGATAGTGTAAAAAAATCCCTATTTTTATCAGGACTACCGGATCCTGAAAATCCCGACCCGGAACCCAATTCTAATATAAAATGTCAGGTATTTGGATTCGGCATTGAACTCCACAAACTAGTGTTGGTAAAACGCGATTTTTCGGTATCGGTATTTTCGGTAAAATACCGATACCGAAAAAATACCGATTTTTTAAAAATTGTTCGGTACCGTATTCGGTATCGGTATTTCGGTAAAAATACGGCGGTATTACCGAAAAATACCGCCGTAATACGGTACCGTGACCAACACTACCACAAACATTTTTACTTAACCTTATCAAGCCTATAAGACTTTTAAAATTATAATTATTTTTACATTTAACATCGCAACACCAAACAAATTTGCATCGACAAGGTTCTTGACGGATTTCCTGTACAAAAATATTAATTACAAATTTTCTTATAAAAATTGCCTTTCTAGTATTCCACCCTTTAGAGCAACATATTTGTTCACAATCTGCTAGGGAAAAGCTAAAAAAATAAAAATTTTAGTCTAAAAAATTAATAGGGGAAACACCATTCACGTCCACTAGCACCACTTGAATTCTCATTTTCTAATAAACAATAGTCTGGAGATTCTTCCTAAAAATTTTATTATTTTAAGAAATATGCATGCTGTTTATTTTTCTATTTTTTTGAAGGTTGGCTGATCCGGATCCGAAAAAACCCGGATATTCGGAAATTCTCGGATACGATCCGATATCCAGGAATTTCCCAATATCCGCTAACCTTAATTCTGTAATAATTACCGTATATCCTAACTACCCTGGGTAATTATTGTTTCGACCTTTCGCTGGATGGGGAAGGAATATTGAAGGAGGAAAATTAATAAGGTTATATAAGAGTAAGAGTTAATTAAGTTTAATTATAGCCATCGGGGATTAACCGAACCTTTATTATGCTGAAAATGCTTGCTAGGCTTCGTGCAGCTGCCCTATAGGAAGGAGTTACATGGGTGGAGAGTTACACAGAAAAAGTAGCATTATGAGAGGATGAAGGAGAGCTGATTCCCAGGTTTCATGCAGCAACTCTATAGGAATGAGTTACCGGAGTGGGGAGGTAAAAAGAAAAAGTAGCATTATGGGAGAGAGAGGGAGATAGGCAAATTAATTTCTTAAAATATTTTTACGTAAGAAATTTTTTTTACCAAAAATACAAGCTCAGATCTACTAGCCAACTTTGCTTGTTGAACCTTATTTTTCAAAAAACGTTGTTCTCTTCTTGTATTAGCACTAGAAGTGCCTATTTGGGATAAACGACCGTCTAAAACGCTGCTTTCTTTTTTATCAACAATTAAAGTAAAACTATCAGATGCCAAAATAACCTAAAATTTTTATTCAAAAAATATTTTTTTGAATAAAAATTTTAAAGGTACTTGTTGTGCTTGTTCATATTTTTTCTTTATTAAAGAAGCAAGTTCTTCAAGTTTTGGGACAGTGCGCCAGCAAGTTTTCGTTACGCAAGAACTTTTAATTTAAAAATTTATTTTAGAAATTAATTGTTTTATTTTACTCACTTCAATGCTAAAACAGCTTTTTTCTGATCCCCTAATCTTTATTATCAATAAGAAGATAAATAGGTAGATTTTTCAGTGAATCCAATTACCTCTAAATTTATTTTCTTCTACATATTAGAATTGTTTGAAAAAATGGAATTTATATATTTTTCCTATCCCTTATTCAAATAAATTAAATTCTAAACTTCGAATTCACCTCTCATTAATGAGAAAACTGGGGACGCCCAAATTTAAGGCATGATTTAAGACGAGTTGAGAAAAAGGGTTCGTTTTGTTTTGAATTTTTTTCGGATCGTCTTTCAACCTTCGAATAAGTTCGGGAAACCCTACCCATCCCAGTGTAACTCTCATTCCTATCTGAAACAACATTTAATCCTTATTCTCATACTCAATTAAAATAATTAAAATTACCCGCTAACCCCATGGCATTTACACTGTTCTCGTACATTAGCCGCTAATAATCGTCTACCTACTCGATTATTATGTAAATTCATTAAAGCCCTAAAAATAATTTTTTAATAATTTGAAGTTAGTTAAATGCCTAGCATCCATAATTTGTTTTTCTGTTGAATCAATAAATTTTCTTGTAAACTAGAAAAAAAATTTCCAAAAAAATTTTTTTAATTACTTGATTTCCAAATTTAACATTATCCGAACAACCAGCCCAAATAAACTTGAAAAATAATTTTTTAGTTAAATTAAAATTTATTTTTAAGTTAAAAACTTGTTCAGGCCTCCCACTAAACCCTTCAGGTGCTGCACTTGTTACCTTAAAATTTTTTCAAATTTTTTTTTCTACTCTAAATGATACTGACATAAGTCTGTTCTCCTCCCCCACAACCGCATTCAGGTATTAATCCTCTAGCACACGCACGTGCCAAAGAATGGGAAGCGCCAGCTGATGATATTGCATAAATATAGGCGGTTTCTGCGGTTGCTGCTGAACAATAACAAATATTTTTGATAATTTTATAAATTTCCTTTACCCCCCTTCACAGGACCAACAACTCCAAAACTTGCCGAACAGTTCCATCGTTCCTTTAAAATGAGATATATGGTATAATTATACATTTTATCGTTGAGTATACTCCCATTAATATGTATATACAATTAATTTTAGTCTGTGTTTTTAGAGCTGTCCGAGAAGAAAATTTTTTCAAGTATCAAGAGCAAGACTTAATTCCTTATACCAAAGCCGAAAAGACTTTTGGACAAGTCTTGAGTAGGGTTGTTTCTCCGACGGGAGAGGATGTCAAGGGGATAACTTTTTCGGGGAAGGCAGCGCCACGAGGGGGGGGAGGTGAGGAACACCCTTAGTCTTGATTCAGGACTTGCGAAAAAATTTGGAAAGCTCTAGTGGGCGCCCACGATCTCTTATAATAATATGTGAATATTAAAAATAAATTTTACCCTCTGGAATTGAACATGACACTCATCAATAGCATTTCTTAAGCCTTCTTTAAAAGATGTTAAAAATTTTGAAAATTCATTTAAAATTTTTTCAAAATACCACTAATTGCACGCATAGCAGAAGGATGTTGCCTACAAATTTCACGTTGACGTTTGACAAGACCTGGCTGCATTTGACAGTTGTAGTAATCAGGAGCAGATATAGCAGAAGCAAGTTGGGCGGTCATTAACCTTTAAAAAAGTTTTTCAGAAAATTTCTTCTTAGGTAAAATAAATTAAAATTTCCAATCTATTTTAAAGCTTCCACAATTTCAAAATTATATTTTCTTTAAAGAGTTATACAGTTTAAGACTCAAATTAACCTAATTGACAGTTGTCTAAAAGTCAAAGTGTATTGACACGGGTAGCGTAAGTTACTCTGTGCTCTCTAACTAAAATGACCTTTTTTGCCTATCAGAATAAATTCTGATTTTCAAAAGCAAAATATAATAATTTCAGCTATTAAAATAGATACCTTTAAGAACTTTTTTATTTTTAAATTCTCTTAAAAATTGATTTAAAAATTTAGGTACTTATTGGTTATCCCTAAGTAGTTTTTGCGGACATTTTATGCGGACTCATTTATGTACGAAAAGGTCAAAGGTTCTCCCTTCCTCGATTTCACTCAATTTTCTCTGTGGCATTTTTCAATGAGGGCATCAATAAAGAAAAGATTAATTTTTTGAATGTCAACAAATATAAACAACACAAAACATTAGGATCAATATTTGAAGTATCAAGCTTTACTGGAAATAAGAGAGTTAATATGTACCAATACTGGTACACACACCAAACTTTAACAGGTTTTGATTTAGAAGCTGATGACTCATGTCATAAATAGACTGATATTTTCAAAGAAAGCACATCCCACGGACAAAATAGAACATAATCTAGAAAACTATTTTTGTCTGGACCTATTTCTGAACCAATTTTCCGGACCAATTTTTGTTTTGTCTGACCAATTTGGACGAATTGACAAAACTGTGTTTTGTCTGGTCTATATTTTGGAATCTTTTTCTTTATTGATGCCCTCAATGAAAAATGCCACAGAGAAAATTGAGTGAAATCGAGGAAGGGAGAACCTTTGACCTTTTCGTACATAAATGAGTCCGCATAAAATGTCCGCAAAAACTACTTAGGGATAACCAATAAGTACCAAAATTTATCTTAATTTTGAAAATTCTTAAAAAAATTTTTAAAAAATTTCAAAAATTTTTTTAAAAAATTTTTGAAATTTTTCGAATTTTTTTCCAAAATATCCAAAAAATTTTCTAATTTTATTAATTCTTTCTCTCCTTTTTTATTCTTAATTTGTCGTGTTTTTCAAATAAAAAAAAATTTTTTTGGTAGTAAAAGTTTAAAAATAAAGAGACAAGCCTCTAAAAAGGACAACAAAACTATTTTTGTCGTCTTCTGCCGCCTTTCCAAAAAAATAAATTTTTTATGACCACAATTTGGGGAAAACAATCAAGAAACATACGCGATCTTTTATTTTTTTATTGGGAAAGGGGAAAATTACCGCCAAAAGAAAACAATCCTTTTTTAAGGAAATTGATCATAAAAAAAGAAAATTAAATGTGCGCAGTTGAGAAATATTGGATAAAATTGAAAGAGGTATCAAAACAATTTGATTTTGAAAAGTTTGAAAAATAAAAGATTTTTTGAAATTTTAAATGAAAACAAATTTGAGGAAAAAATTTTAAAATAAAAATTTTAAATAGGAATTTATTTCTGAAAGTCAAGAGTGAATATTAGAGATAGAACCGAGACAAGATCTCCATTATATGACCCTCCCAGTCCGTTCATATATTGGAGATCAGGGGTCGACGGAAATTTCGAAGGTGCCGGAAATCGGAACTGTCGGAAATCGGAATTCCGATCGACCCTTGCCATACACATAATAATAAATAGTACACCTCGGTTTAGGAAATTCTTAAAATTTTAATTAGCCACTGGATGAGAGGGGGACTTATGTAGGCAATACCTAACCGATGATACATCTCATTATAAGCTGTAATTTTTTCAGCTTCAAAATACCTAAGTATCTAACATTAATTTATTTGAGGAGTCATTTTTGGAGTTATCCTTCTTTTTAAAGGGATTTAAAAAGGGGCAGCATGATGTAATATATGTATTTTATAATGTAATATTTTTATGTAATATTTTTTAATACTTCTCCATTATCTGCATAATCATTTTATGATCTTAAGCTGACTTACGTCTTTGATTTTATTAAAATTACAAGTTTCCATGAAAATTTTTTGACTCCATAAATTTTAGAAAAAATACAATGATGCCCTAAATGTATATTTAACCCGATAATAACTTCATTTAATATGTAAAAGTCCTCGCTATTTTATTTAAATAATTTAGTCAAATTTTAATTTTAAAAACAAACCAGGAACAATAGACGGGATGACAAAAAAGAATTAAAATAAATAAGAAAAGCTTTAATAATTTTAAAACAAAATTTATATTATTGTTGTTGGTATAAGACGAAAACATTATTTAATTTATTTAATTTAAAATTTCAAAAAAAAATCTTAAAAAGCTTTAAAAATTGATTAAACGAACTAACTGCCCGTTAAATTTTAGTAGACGAAAAATTATTTCAGCAAAAATTAAGTTTCCTAAAAATTTTTGTTGATTGGCCCCGTAGTATTTTCGAAAACAATTCCTTCAAGTTTTTAAAAATTAAATCCTTAAAATTACAAACTTTACATGACAAGGCGGATTTAATAAAAAGGAGAAGAAATTGGGCGGAAATGAAAGGAGGAAAGTGACTGGGAATGACATTGAACATGTTTTGTATAAAGAAATAAAATTAGAGAGGTTTTGAATCAAACCAATAAAGGTGCAATTTTTACAACATTGTGTGTTTCTGCCTAAAAAATTTATTTGAGAAAATTGGGAAAATAAAGGGTGTGGCTAAAAATAAGGGTTATAAATTAAATAGATACAGTAGACATTTGCGGACGTTTGCGGACATTCGAGTAAATTTGCGGACAAATTGAATCTAGACTTGATTGAGCCAAACAATTTTTGGAACTTATGGCCATAGAGTTTTTTAATAATTATATTTTAAGTTGAACTTTAAATATGTAGTTTTTATATTTTGTATAATATACTAAATAAAAAGAGATCCGAGGTTATTAAATGTTTCCCCATTTTCCAGCTTTTTAAAGATCTCTTTTTGATTTTCTATATTTTTGATTTAAAAACTTCAACTAACCAAAGATGGGATTTTCATTCCGAACTAAAATCTCGAAATACGAAATTTATAAAAAACCGGGTCTTTTCTATTTTGAGCGATAAATGTGGTGAGGGATAGTGAGGGATAAATAAGGGAGTTTATATAAGGGTTGTTGGTTTCGCAAAATTTTCTCGCTTAACCGAACCGATCCGACAAACCGAACTGAAATATTCAATTTGGATCGGGATGAAATTTAAAAAAATTAAAAAATTTTAAAAACGGGTTGCCGACCCTATATAACAAAACTGGACGATAGTAGAAGAACAGGCTACAATAAAATATTAATAAATAATAAACTTTAAATGAAGAAATAAACCATAGAAAATTAATAAAAAGGTGTAAAGTCTATATTTAATCAACATTTTCTATTTAAAAAAGGAAAGAGATTACATATAATTTTTCTTTTCCCCTCTAAATGGCATTTGATTCAATCAACGTGTAACATTCTTCTTTAAATAAACTTTTTCTCATTTTAAAAAAAGAACTTTAACAGACAGATTTACAACATAACTAGCTTCAAACTATATTTTTGTATTGCCTCAAGCTTTTTTTTCCTTTTTTAACTTGCTTAAATGAATCATTTTATTAATATTTTTGTGTAATAATTTCCTTCATTTTTTAAAATAGAATACAAAAATAGGCATTTATACAAATTAGGTGGAAAATATAAATTGATAAATTGAAAGTTTTACAGAGAAAAAGTTTTATTAAATTGATTGAAGATACAAGGAAATCCCTTACAAGGAAAGGGAAATACAAGGTAAGGGCAATGATAGGTCCATGAGCCCTTCAAAGCAAGAGCCTTGATTCGATCCATGTCTTGGTCAATTTTTCTCGAAATTCTAGAATTATTGTTTTATAAATTTGCTGGTTTAATAAGTCATCTGCCAATTATTTTAGGATAAGAAGCAAAAGTGGGCGTTCCAAAAAACCATCGTGAAACGCTTTGATTCGATCAAAGCAAGAGTCGTCTGTACAAAGATGTCGTCTTAAAAATCGTCTGAAAAAAAATTGTTTAAAATTGAACTCAGATCCAGCTGATGGGTCTATTGAAGATTTATGAGTTTAATAAAAAAATTCAGAGCCCAAACAAATTCTGGCAAAGGAGAGGCTGTGGAGCAGGGTTGCCGCCCGAAACCCGATACCCGAAACCCGGCCTTTTTTTGTACCCGAAACCCGATACCCGAATTGAAAATTTTCCAACCCGAAACCCGTACCCGATATTTTTTCCAACCCGAAACCCGTGACCCGAAATTGGTTAAAACCCGAAAATTCTACCCGAAATCTTATTTTTTAAAATAAAATGAAAAAATTATGTAAAGAGAAAATTCTAAAATTAGCGCCTGCGGCGCTAAAAAGGAAGAAATCTGACTTCTTGGACTTCCTAAATTCTCAAAATTTTCGCCTGCGGCGCTAAAAATGAAGAAATTTTGCTCTCTGGCCTTTAAAAATTCCCAAAATTTTCGCCTGCGGCGCTGAAAAATGAAGGAATTTTGCTCCTTGGCATTCCAAAATTCCCAAAATTTTCGCCTGCGGCGCTGAAAACGGGAGAAAATCTGAGGCTTTAATGGAAGTCAAGTGGAGAATCTTTATTAATCCTATCCAACAAGTGCTGGAATCTGACGATATCTCTTTTAATCCCTGATATATCATTGCAAGAAGTATATAGGAGGATATGCATGGATAAATGTGGATTTGGAGAGACAATGGGTGATTTGGAGGGATTAAAGGGAATTAGAGGAGGATATATGTAAGCAATATGAAAAGATTTGATGATCCGCTGATACTAAGGATGGTTCATTAATCCTGCAATATCTACCAAACCCTCCTAAATTTATTCCTTGATATTCTTCTCAATTCCAAGATATCCCTCTTAATCCCCAAATCCCGCAATGTCTCTTTAATCTCTCCAAATTTTCCTCTCTCTATATCACCAGAAATCCTAATATGCAACATAGCTTGTCGCCTTACAATTTAGTTCACCAATAACCGAACACCCGAAAATAACCTGAATTTTTCGCCAAACCCGAAACCCGTACCTAAATTTTTGCCAACCCGAAACCCGAATTGAAAATTTTCCAACCCGAAACCCGAAACCCGTACCCGATATTTTTGCCAACCCGAAACCCGTGACCCGAAATGAAAACGCTCCAACCCGATACCCGAAACCCGTACCCGAAGATTTTTTGTACCCGCGGCAACCCTGCTGTGGAGTGTCCGTAAGACTTCGGGATGAAATTGGCAGACAAATAGATCATACCCTACTTTAATTGTGAAATTTTCACCATTTTCGCTGTGGGGTACTAAGGACCGAGTTATAAGCTCCCAAAGTTTTAGGCCTCTCCTTTGTGAGTCCAAATCAACACTTGTCCAATACAATTGAGTCAAGTGAGTCCACTTAATTTTCATGTGAATTCGGGATAATACATTTTGAATTCTGTAAACAAATAAATATTTATTAAAATAATATTTTGTTTTGTCAATATATTTCTATTGTTAAAGTGCCAGAAAAGATTTGCATAAAAAATTAAAATAAAATAAAGTCCCAATACGAGGAGAATTTTTTACTTTTTGTGTATATCACAAAAAACTTTAATAATATTAACTTAAAAAATTTTTATTTTATTTATTTTAAAATAATTGTCAATAAACTTTAACTTAAAATATATTTCTTCCTTTTTTCTAATGTTTTCTTAAAAGATTAAAGAAAAAAAAAATAAAAATTTCGAGAGTTTTTATTAATCAAACAATAAAAAAAGGAACTATCAATGACGGAGGTTAACTCAAATATTAAAAAATTTTCAAATTCTTTGGTTCAAAATGATCAGATCAAGTAAGTATTGTAGAAACGTCCAAGACTTTTGGGTTTGAACTTGACTTGAGACCTTTGTATGGGATTTTTGGTCCTAGTCTCGGCTTTTTTTTGAGATATCTAACACGCGAGGAAAAAATTAAAAAAATATGCACTATAGGCAAAAAACTAGTCCTGATTTAAGTCTTGGGGGCAAGCCTTGGTCTTGAGTCATTAATCTTGGCTTTGTCACTGTCTTGGTCTTATCCCCGAGTCTAGGAAATTTTTCTGTTTTGGACTTTGTGTTTAATTAAAATAAGGAAAGAAATAGGTTGTTAACAAAATTCCCAAGATCAGTGGGGGTTACCCTCACAACTTACTGCCTCAAAAATAGTAAAAACAACTTAATTATTCAAACACAATTCATTTCCAGAAATAAACAAATAACCAATCTCTCCTCAAAAACTTCACAAATAAACAAAAAGAATGCAAACAATCTTGGATTTCGTTATATTTGGCCTGTCCGTGTTCAACTTAGGCAATTGGGTCCAAATGGGGAAAATACAATTTTACACATTTCACCAAAATTTGCAACTGTCCACGAACATGTAAGCTTTCAATGGACATTGAAAATGCATGGAATACCCGAACGAATGAAGAAAAAGTTTAGTGAAGAAAGGAATGTAGAAGAAAATAAAATTAAATCGACAACTGATGAGGGAGAGGAGGGAAAGGAAGTGGAAGGTGAAGATGAAGAAGAGGATGATGAAGATGAAGAGGACGAAGAAGAAAGCCCTTCTAGTGCAGAAAAGGGTTATGTGGCTATTTCTCTTTATTATTTGGATGGTCCTGTGAATAATATTTGTTTGAAGGCACAGGTAAAAGATGTTATTATAAGGCAGATCTCTATTGAACGACACTCATTATTACGATACTCACAAGATAATTCTTTTGGCCGATGGGCATTATTACATACGGGCACTCGTGAGACACTCTCCCTTTGATTTCAAATTTTTTCAGTTGTCGTACAAGTGAAATCCAAAGGAAATCGCGTCGTTTTAAACACGATATTATAAACAAAATCATACCTAAGACCCTAATATGCAACTTCCTATTGCAGGTACACGTTTTAGAAGAAAAAGAATTGAAACAACAAAGAGATTTTGAAGAAGTCCATCTTGAAGAGAGTAAGTTTGATGGTTTAATTAATAAAAAAATATTAATTTACAGAAAATTGTTTAACCGTTACTCGAGGAAGCGAATGTGAATTAGCTTTAAATGACCGTAATAAAGTCAGCAATTATATCCGTCAAAACATAGGCAAAGTGATAAGGCTTTCTTTACTGATCGAAATGGATTTGGCTCATTTTTGTGCTGATACTTACTTAAATGCAGTCTCTCCTACACCAATACACTCTTTTTTAACAGCTAATTATAGAGCTAGGGTTAGCAGTAAAGTTTGGAGAAAATGCTCTAATCGGAGGTTTCTCCGTTTGATTTTCTTTAAATCCCTCAAATTTTACAGGCCAAGAAGCGCCTCAGATGGCCATCACAAAATGATAACTGGAAATAGAAAGCTGGATTTAGAAAGGTCGTTTAATCGAGTAATGGATAGAGAAAGGGAAAGGCGTGAATTAGAAAGGTGTTATTCGAATTATGGAAGTAGAAAAGGCTCTAGAAGACATTCACAAAATGAGGAATTAATTTTGGAAGAAGTCTCAATAATAAATAATATTGAGGGACAAAATAAAGAGGAAAAGGTAGGGAAAATGGTCTTCAAAATAGAATACACCCAATATAGATACCGAAGTTTTATCAAAGATTAGGCCTAGGCTGTGGGTTGGAACAGCCTTGGCATTATACGATCTCTAATTATATGATACACCACAATCTAAGATCGTTTCTTTGAAATTTGGTTAGCCACAGGGTAGTGCAGCTGAGTAACCATCCCCAATTTAAGGAGGTACAGCTTAGGTGCAACTCACTAAAAGATACAATTTTTCAGCCTCGAGGAAGGTATCTTATATATCCTATAGTGAGGTCTATTATTGTATTTTTTTTTTGAAAAATGGCCAAATCAACTCAAATTTAATTTTAAATTTTAATAACCTGATAACCCTAACATTCACATTTTTAGAAAGAAATAAAAGAAATTACCGAAAATGAAGATATAAATAATAATTTAATCAAAAATACACAAATTAAACAAATTAAAACAATTTCAAATCAAACATTAATAATCATCCCCCACCATCGTGCAGCAGAACAACATTTGTTTAAAAAATTGCTCGTTGCCTGCTGTGAAAGTTGTGAACGGAGAGCTTCACTTACAGTAAAAAATTTTGAAATACAATCGAATCTTGCTATAATATACACCCTTAGGGATAAAAAAGACGTCTAATAAATAGGGCTGTTCAACTTGGACTTGAGTAGGGTTGTCAATTTCACCAAATTCTCATGTTAACCTTCGGGTTTTGGTTCGGTTTGAAAACAACAACCCTAGGCTTGTTTATTGACTCCAGACTTTTCTGGGGTCTTGGGGGTTGATTAGGAATTTGACTAAAATTGTGAAAAAATCAAACATAAATTTTCTCACAGTTATTAGTCCCCAATAATTACCATCAACACAATTATGGAAGAAAAAGAAATTTTTCACAATCTGAAGAGGATTGTTTCAATCGTAGTTGTTCCGATTGTGAAATGGAAAGAGAAGATAATGAAGATGAAGAGGATATTCCTTTTGAATGTGATGAAGAGAATAAAGCAGAGATTCATGATACGTTAGCCAATATGTATGTAAATTTAAGTTTAGTTAAAAATCAGAATATATTGGGATATCAGAATATTAGATAATAATCAATTAATCTTATGTGAGTGGTATTATTCGACATATCCTGTATGTGGTACCAAAATAAATGTGATATCTACGAAAAGTGTTCTGGGGCCTATTTCAATTGTCCGCAGATTCTGCATTCTGTGCACAGAACACAGACCGCAGAATCTGTGGACAATTGAAATAGGGCCCTGGGCTCTGTGATAATTTAGGCATGTTTCTGGGAGAGGTTGAGGGGTAGCAGTCAGGTCCTGTAAAATCTTCGGATATCGGGAGACCCTCAACTATATTCGGAACCAAATCGAAAGACCCTCGAATAGGTAAGACACATAATTTGGAAGAATCCAGAAGCCAAATATTTTATTAATCTTTCCCGATACCCTACCAATATATCTTCATTATTTTCAAGGTATTTTAATAAAGTTGTTCTCCCTGATATGGATTATGTTGAAGATTTTGTAGATTTTTTAATTGATGCCGAATTAAACGATTTGCCTGTATTAAAGCGAGCTTGTGAGAGATATTTATGCGGAGAATTGAATACTGTATGGATTTTTTTTGGAATTTAAAAAATTTTATTTTCTAGAAAAAAGAATTAATGACTTCTTTAATTTTGGATTTATTTTTTATTGCTATGGTTTTTCGATTGCCTGTAATGAAGTCTATGACGTTGACTGAACTTTGTGATCGTTACTATGAAATGGAGGATCTTGGAATTTTAATGGAGAGAGACGAATACAAGTACGGTAGAGGCTCGATAGTTTGTCACGTCTCTCTATTACGTCATCCAGATCAGAGGTGTGCCGAAACGGATTTCAAAAAGTGAAACATTATGACGAAAGACGAAACAACAGAAAGTGAAAATTCACTGAAAGGCACACTCCTGGTCCAGGCGGTGACGTTTTATCGAGATTGATTGTAACTTATTTGATTTTAAAAAATATATGGGAAGATATAAAGCTTTTAGTTAAAAATTTAAAAAATTCTTTAATTAAGAAGCCTTGATAAAAGAATTCGACAGCTTTGTGGAGACCGAAATTTGGCCGATTTAGTAGACGAATGTAAACGTTTCAGAGAACAATGCCTTCGTGTTCAACGTGTTAATTTTTGTTCTAAATAAATTTTAAAAATTTAAATAAACGCTAATAAATTTTATTGATATATAATTTTTTATCGGGAAATAGCTCTTAATTTTTTCCGATCAGGGCTGTTTTTGGCCAGCGGATTGTGTGAATTTCTTGGGTTTTTGGCCTGCGGGTTGCGTCACACCTGTTCCCAAGACCATTTTTATTTCGTATCATAAGTTAGTTCATTGATAACTTGTTTTTAAAATTTTCAAAAAAACAATTAGTATAACTCAACAAATTTATATAAATAAGACAAAGAATAGTCATAAACTTGCTGGCCGTAGGCTTTGAACATTAAAAAAAATTCTACTAACCCAACCATATAACTAAACTAAGAAAAACGGAATTTTCAGATAATTTAGACACTTCCTAGGAAAAAGATTTCCTTCCATAAATATTCAGAAAACTTATTAAATAACTAGCGGAAGGGGTCGCCCTTCGGGCGAGCCCCTTCCGCTAGCCAAATTCTAAACATTACAAAAACTTAAATTAGAACACCACAAACATAAACCTCACTTGTCAACTATTAACTTTAATTCAACTATTAACTAAGATTTTCAACTTCCAACTATTAACTATTAATATCTATGTCTAATATTAACTATCAACTTCCAACTATTAACTATTAACACTGATTCTACTATTAACTAAGACTTCCAATTTTAAACTATTAATATCTATGTCTACTATTAACTATCAATTTTCAACTACTAACAATGATTTGACTATTAACTAAGACTTTCAACTTCCAACTATTAATATATTTGTCTACTATTAACTATCAATTTTCACTATTAACAATGATTCGACCATTAACTAAGATTTTCAACTTTCACTATTTTCAACTTTTTCTATGTCAACTATTAACTATCAATTTTCAACTATTAACAATTAACAATGATTCAACTATTAACTAAGACTTTTAACTATTAACAATGATACAACTATTTAATAAAACTTCCAATTTTCAACAATTAACTATTAATATCTATTTCGCCTATTAACTATTAACCAACTTTCAAATATTAATATACAAATATTAACCAACTTTCAAATATTAATTTACAACTATTAACTATTAACCAAACTTCAAATATTAATTTTTAACTATTAACAACATTAACTATCAACTATTAACAACCCTTGTCATTTAACCGGTTGTTAGTCTCTTCTATCTCAGTCACTACCGCTTTTTTCTCACTCATTGTGGGACCGTTTTCTCATACCTATTGAACGACTATTTTCTCTTTCCTATTGACGAACTCTTTTATCTTGTTTACTGGCGAACCCTTTTTTCGGGCCATTTGACGGGCACTTTTCTTTTGCTTATTGCACGAAATCTTTTCTTCCCACCATTGTCAGACCTTTTCACAGTTTCGGGACACTTTTCGCTTCCCATTATTCCAACCATCGCCAGACTCTTTTCACCCATTTACGGGAACCTTTTCGCTAACCATTATTCCAACGATTGCCAGACCTATTTCACCCAGTTACGGGACCATTTTCGCTCACCTCAACCATTTCCAGACCCTTTTCACCCATTTACGGGACCATTTTCTTTTCAACTTTACTGGAACTATTCCCTAACTCTTTTATCAGAAGAAAAGCAAAATAAAACTTAAAAATTGATTAAAATAAAGAGTTCAAAAAACGAAAAAAATTACAGCAAAAAAACAAAACAAATTCTAAAAAATTCACATTCTTTCTTTACTTCTCTAAAGACACACTATTTTCTGTTTGGGATATTTTGTCATTTATAATTAAAAAAATAAACACAACGCCAAAAGTCTCGCAAAATTCAAAGCTGCGGACAGACAGACAAAGCATTCTAAAATTATATATAGGATATTTACCATTGATTGATTAGAACAAAATAATGAATAATATTTTTATAAAAAATGCTACATTTAAGCAATTTTATTTCCTCATTTTATTTATTTTTTTATAAATTCGTAAACAATCAACACATACACAATTCTCTCCCTCAACAATACTTTGTATTGTCATAAAAATAAATAATAAAAGATTTTTTTAATTAAAAAAAACAAGTTTTAGAAACGACACAAATTTGATTATTTTTACGTTTTTAAAAATTATTTTAAATAAATTTTCTATCAAATTTCTTCAATTATTTAAAAAATATTTATTTTCGTAAATAAATGTGACAAATCTTCTCATAGTTAAATTATAAATTGTACTTTATTTGACGGATTAAGGCTGGAAAAATTTTAAATAAATATAAAGTTTAAACAAACAAATTTTACCCCCTTCCTTCTCTAAAAATTATTAATTAATTAATAACGATAAATATTATTGAAATTTAGTAAAAATAATAAATTTGAATTGCTGTCGGATCTCGATTTTACAAATGAAATTTGGTCTAAAAATCCTATCTAAAATTAAGGTGTGTCTGAAAGTAATATTTTTTGGATTTCTCATCTAGGGCAGTGTTGTATGTTTCGTGAATCGGGGACGGACATACCTGGCTCGGACATTTTCCAAATCTAGGCTCAGGGTACTTGATAAAATTGAAAAAACTTTTGAACACCTCGATTTTATTCGAATAAAAACCGCACAGCCGAAAACCCGAAGTTTTTCGGTTTCGGTTAACCGAAGAATTTTGTGAAACCGACAACCCTACTCTTGGGCAATCAAATTAAAAAGATTATTTTTGAATAAAATCGAGGTGTTCATAAGTTTTTCTAAATAAAATCGTTGTCCGACTAGATCTAACTATATGAATCTATTTTAATAAAATTTCTAGTCTATCAAAAATTATATAAAAATGAAATTTGTAATTTTTATTTTTGTAATTTTTTTGTTCAAAATTGTTGAAGGAAATGAACGAAGTATTCGAGTATTGCCTCCATTCTATTTAACTGTTCCAGAATTTAAAAAATGTTTAGAAAGGTTGTTGAATTTTTGAAAAATTTTTTCCTTCCATTGTTCTCCCTTTTTTTCATCGTAATTTCCTTAAGCCGAAAAGTAGAGTTAGTTTATTGGATGCTTTGAAGCTCCAAGTTCCTTTTCTTCCAAATCCTGGCTTTATTCTTATTAAATCGAATCTAGGCTCATGGTACTTCACGAAAGTTGTTTCTGTATACTTTAAAAAGCCAATTCCTAGAGTATACGCGGATTGCCCCAAAAATCCTATTTAGGTTCAGCTTTACTCCTGAAGTGGGATCACAATACTTTTTAAATTAATTTTTGAATTTAAAGAAAGAATTTGCAAAAGTTTAGCCACCGGGCAAAAGTTTAGCCACCTGTGACCACCTGCTAGTTGTTGCTAGGCGCTTTCGCTCACCGCGTATATGAGCTCTACCTCTGAGCTACCGGGGCATCGACTAATGCTTTCTCTTTTTCCTTTTTGATCGTTTAACCCCCGCCTAAACGTTTTAAATGCTGCTAGGTGAATCATCTTTCATTTAAAACGATTCAGTCTAGGCGAAATTAAATTTTTTCAATAAAAAATATTTTTAAAATTTCCCCTTAATTATACACTTCCGTTATTTAACATAAAATATCCCCCTAAAAAATCATTTTTGCAGCAAGGAAATAAACGGCGACCATGAAGTTTGGTGTTTCCCTGAAGATATACCTGCTGGCTGCGACCCTAAATCATGGAAACAATTAAAAGTATTTTTAAATTAAGAATGCTTAAATAAATTAAATATATTTACAGGAACATCAAGAGAAGGATGGACTTAAGCAATGTTGTGATATTTGAGAAAAAAAAAATTTTTTTGACAAAATAAATGTTAAAATTACAAATACATATATATTCTTTTAATTTAATTTTTAATTAAATTTTAATAAATGTATCATCTAATCAACAGTAGTCTTTACTAGTGTTGGTCACGGTACGGTATTACCGCGGTATTTTTCGGTAATACCGCGGTATTTTTTACCGAAATACCGATACCGATACCGCACAGTTTAAAAAAAATCGGTATTTTTTCGGTATCGGTATTTTACCGAAATACCGATACCGATACCGATACCGCCTCAATCAAAATACCGCGGTATTTTTCGGTATTTCGGTATTTTCCTGCGGCGCTAAAAATGGAAGTTTTTGGCTTAAGGATCTTCCAAAATTCTCAAAATTTTCGCCTGCGGCGCTAGAAAATGAAGAAATCTCGTGACTAGGCCTTACAAAATTCTCAAAATTTTCGCCTACAGCGCGGATGAAAAAGTTTTGGCTTAGTCGCATTAAGTTATCCCTTCCCTGGTTTAATACCAGGACTGAACGCAGTTGCGGAATGCGTATTGCGGGTGCGTGTATAGATGGTATATAGGGTACGTGATAGGTGGATATCTCAATCAACCACTGATATCTCGATTAATCCATTTACCTTACACTAATAAGAGTGATATAGGTGGAAGGGATATCACGGGTATCAAGGGGTAAGTAACTTGGAACTATTTACTCACTATTTATAAATTTATTTTACATTTATTGTATTAAATTCGCTCACCTGGTAAATTTTCAAAAAATACCGAAATACCGCGGTAATACCGACTATTTTTCGTCGGTATTTTTCGGTATCGGTATTTTACCGAAATACCGATACCGATACCGATACCGACTCAGTCAAGAATACCGCGGTATTTTTCGGTATCGGTATTTTACCGAAAATACCGATACCGATACCGAAAAAACGCGTTTGACCAACACTAGTCTTTACGTACTAGAGGGGTTCTACTCCGTTTTCTCCTACCGTAAATTATCTTCACGTAACAGTAATTGTGGATACAGCCATCTTCCTCAGAATTCCGGTTTTTCGACCTTTAGCTTCCACGTTCCGTCTAGGGTTGTTCCCCGACGGGTGTGGGGAGGGGGGGGGGAATTTTCAAAAAAAATCTCAAATTTCCCGACTTTCGAGGACGGGGACGGTGAACAATCCTAGTTCTGTCTGCCTATTTTTATTATTAAATGCGACTAATAAATATATGATAACCGGTGATCATTACTTTTTTTATTTTTAGTTATACCTTGCTTTAGAGGTAGTTTTTGGAATTTTATTGGCTTAGTGGAAATTTTTATGAAATCTGTTTTTATTTAAACGCAAATCAAAATTTTATTAAATTAAAAATAAAAAATTCAAACGCCAGGCATAATCTCAAATCTTCCTTTTGTCGATTTCAGACCCTGAAGGAAGAAAATAGTCCCAAACGAGATCACAGAAAGGAACGAAAGTATTATCGGTATTAAAATAAATAAAATTAAATTTTCTTTAATTTGTTTCCTTCTTCCTTTCAATTCCTCTTTTTGTTCAAACTGTTCGCTTTTTAAACGTTTTTCAAATTCTGCACGGGTACGGACTACACACTTGCGCATGTTTGATAATGTACGGAAGAATGGACATCCCTTTTAAATTTTTTTTTGAAAATTTTGGTTTAAGACTAACCAAGGAAGGACAAAAATAGCTTTCTTTAGCTATTGATATTTGATGTCGGGAGGAAAGATTGTAGCGAGGCCCGGTAATTAAACGATTCCATAGCCATTTTGCTGCATAAGTATGGCCAAGACTTTAATTAATTTATATATAGTCAATTCACCTATGTCTGTAAAGAAATACTCCATATAATCGACTCCGTCTATAAGCACCTTCTATATTATGGATTCTGTTTATGGCGACTCGGTCTAATGAAAGATAGTCTCATGAAGTCACATAGGATTTAAGATTTCACTCCTAAAACAACTCCCTATATAATGAATTCTTTAAGAACTCTTTCTATGGGCCCTCAGTGTCCATTAAATTTATAGGGACTATCTGTAATTCCCAAAATAAATCCCCAAGGGGCGGCTATAATCCAGGATTGTTTCAGGAAATACAAAACCCCTCCTAAAATTCTTCATGAGATTCTCCTTCCTTGAAATCCATCTATTAATGGAATACGGCAAAATTCAAAAACAATTTCCTTGCCTATTAAGAAGAGGAAATTCTGACAGAAAAAGTTGTTCTAAAGGTTGTCGATTGTCTATACCAATCTTAAGCTTGGACAGGGCCAAAAGGGAAAATGTCGGATATTTATTGTTTTTCTCGTAAAATTCTGCTTCCAATTGAGTTAGTGCTTTACGCCAAATTTGTTGTAAATTTGCAAGTTGAGAATCTGTAATTTTTGAAAGGCAAGGACAACGAGGCCTTTAATGAAAGGAAAAATTTTTTTTCAAAGAATTTTAAAGAAACTTTAGTAAATTTAAAGTCAATTCAGAAGATCGTGCAACGTGTATAGGACCAACTAAGACTACAAAAAGTTTTGGAAGCGATCTGCGAAGTGTTTGGATCGAATGCCTTAGAGCTCCGATATTTGGCTGAAATTAGAAAATTTTAGAAGTTTTTTAATTAAAAGAAAAATGAAGTTCGGACTAGTAGAATCGGGCCCTGGCAGCTCTCCGACGAAGTTTTGGGGTAGGCCTACACATGATAGTTTTCAGGAAACCAGAGATTTTCAGATTGTCCATTTTCAGTGTTCTAGCTATAAAGATCCTTTAAAAGGTCCATCCTATTAGCATTAAGTTCTGAACCCAAGAAAAATTATTTTTGTAAACCAACAGGATCACATTTTGCGCAAAATTCTTCAGTTCCAACAGTTATAAAAAGCATTATCCACTTTTCTTTAAGCTGTTCTGTAGTATAATATTCTTTTAAACGGCCAATCAACCTTTTAGCCTGATCAGGCATTCCATCAGTTTCTGCACCACTCTCAGCTACGTTAAATTGGTTAGAAGGGAGTGAATCTACATTTCCCATTCCATGGGATATCCCTTCCAATTTTGGGTTGAATATAGACAAAATATCTGAAAATTTTATATTTTTCCAGCAAAAAGGCTAACAGAAATAAGATTTGATGGAATTGTGACTTTAAGAGCTCTTCAAAGCTCCTACATCACACAGGCTGATAGTTAGACTAAACGAATTTTGCCATCCCTCATAAGAATGAAGGATTGAGGCCTTCATTCGCCGAACCATCATTACCACCAACACTCCATTCCCTCCAATTTATTCGAAAAGTTTCTTTTCTTCATTCAAGGACCGATTCCTTCATGGTTCCTGTTATGGATGAGTTTCTCTCAATTGAAGCTGTAAGGATGCTTTTTTATGTCAGGCATAGCTCCTCCTCAAACCTCTGGCATAGTTGAGGGGAGGCCGCAGGCATAGCTCCTCCTAGAAACTACTATGGCTAAATTATAGCCCAAATCTCAGCTTAACACATCCCCTTCTCCTTTAATTAAGAAGATAAAACTAATTTACTAGCAAAGGTAACAAGCCCATCAATATTAGCATCACCACCAACAGTAAATGCTGCGCCACGAAACTCGATATTTTCTCCTTTGTATAGACCTAATCCTGTCTTGAAAAAAATTTCCAAATTCAAACTAAATTTTCTTTTCTTGCCGAAAGTGCATCCCCCATCGCTGCAACAACATCAATATCTTCTGGACTTAATTCGGCAGTTGAACTTCCAGTTGCCAATAATTGTTTAACTAAAGGACACGTAAATGTTTTTCGATTCTGGAATAAATCATCAATTTGTGATAAAGAATCTTCATCATCTTCTTTATTTTCTTCATTTTTATCATCATTTTCCTTCTTTATTAATGTACTATTATTAATTTTCTTTGTCTTATTTGAATCTTGTTCATCTTTTTTTAACAAAAGGGATTTTGGTGATAATAAATTTTGATTTATATTGGAACCATTCTATAAAAAATTAATAATTTAATTTTCTAAAGAGGACATTAGGAAATTAAGGGATTTTTAGGGATACTTTAGGAAATTAGACGATATTTAAACTCTATATGTTAGGGTTGCCGGCTCGGTTCGATAGAGTGAACCGGGCATAGAATTTTGGCTTAAAAAAGCTCGAATGGCACGGTTCGATAAAATAAAGCCCGAAAAAAATAACTCGGAAAAACTAGTCCCGATTCGAACAAGACTCGGTAATATTTTTCAAATTTTCAGACAAAGTGTGGCTCCATGGCCTTCCAAAATTCTCGAAATTTTCGTATATCCACGTATCATTTATTTACATAATTGCAGATAAAACATACCGCTATCAATTTTTGAGCATCCAATTTAAATAAAAATTTAATTAAAAATAAATATAAAATAAAATTATTAACAAAATATTTAAAATAAAATTTATTCATTAAAAAAATTTTTTTATAAAATTTAAAACATAATCGATTTAAAAAATTTTTATTATTGTTCAAAATGACTTTTCTCTCTTCCTCTTTACGTCTTTCTATCGAAACCTTTTTTTGAAAAATAAACTTGTGATTATATGCAAATATATAACACTGACTGATAAAATTATCGATCACTATGTTAATAAAATTTCAAAAAGAATTTTTTTGATTGTTTGCATTAAGTCTGAAAAAAGAAGATTTGTGTATTTCGTAGGGTTGAATCAAGTCATGTGGATTTTAGTTATATCAGGATATTGCAAGGGAGCTAAAAAATAACGAGGGATCTGGTCTTCTGAAAATTGGGTATTCCCACTTGGCCTTCAGAAATTCTCAAAATTTAAGCCTTTTGGAACCGGTTCCAGAACAGGAACTGGAACCGAAGAAAATAAAAAAAGCAGTGTAATGCTATAGTAGAACATGCTATAGTAGAACATCTAAGTTAGGGTGTATATTTTTTAATTTAGGTAAGAATTTCAAGTAAAATCTTTCGAAGTAAAATTTCGATCAAAAATCTCGATTATAGAGATTGAAATTTTAGTCTCTAATACTGACTTATTTTAACCCGATATTTTGTTTTGGTTGTTAACAAACTTTTTCTGTCCTTTATAATTTTCAGGTTTTTATTTTTTAACTAAAAGAATCGAGGATTGAAGAACTATATATTTGATTATTTATTATTTTGACATTTTAGTTTAGTATCTTTTAAATTCCAAGCATTTGATTATTTAAAAATTTTGATTTTTGGATAAAGATTTTGGGTATTTACTTTTGAACAATTTTAAGCAATTTAGGTAGGTCATCTGGGCTTGTATCACATCTGGGTTTGTATTACTTATATTTTTAGATGTTAAAAGGATTTTAAGAGTATCATTTCTGTTAATTGAAATAAAATTTAATTTATCTTTAGCTATATTTTCAAAATTTTCACTGACTATATTATTAAGATAAGAGATATTTGTGTTAAAATGAGAATTAAAATATGAAAAGATCAGGTTACTTTTGTTTTCTTCTGAAAAATTAGGATTGGCATTAGAATCGAGAATGGTTGACAAAACTGATTTTTTTATTTTTAAGAAATTTACTAACGTGTTTAAATTTAGAAGATAAACTAGTTTCTGTTACACCTCAGATTAGAGAGGATATTCCTTGGGATATTCCTCCCTAGGTACTAATTGGGTATAGACAGAATATCTGAAAAACTTTTTATCAACGACTGATGGTTTTCATTTTTGATTTGTCAAATAGATTGAAGGAAATTTTGCTGCCTTTGCCCTCCATCCCCCATGAATATGAATTGTCAGCCCCCATCATTCCCTCCATCTTACACATAGAATTACCTCTCTTTTAAAGGGCAACAAAGCGCATGATTCCTTCCGATTTCCCTCTCATGGCTTAATTTCTCATGAGGGTGAGCCTTGATAATTTAAGAGCAATTACTTGTATTTCATGTCACACTTTAATAAAGGGATATAGCCCAGCTATAGCTTACCTATAGCTTACCTATAGCTCACCTTAGCTCACATATAGCTCAGTCTATAGCTCATTCCCTCTCAGCTAAAGCTCAATCCCTCCCCTTTGACTAAAATATAAGTATTCACTAGAAAAGGTAACAAATCAGTCATATTGTGTCACTACCAAGCTTAAATGCAGCGCCACAAAACTCAATATTTTCTCCTTTGTATAGACCTAATCAAGTAAATCTTAAATTTTTGATAAAGATTCTTCTTCGTTTTCTTCTATTTTTTTATTTTTTAATTATTACACGGTTATTAAACGTTAGATGGAAAACCTAGTAAGGACGTTAAGAAAATTGGGATAATAATTTCATTTATTAAACAAATTTTTTTCTTTTATTTATAGAATTTAAAATTAAATTTTTAATTTTAAAGACCTTCAAAAAGTTTAAAAATATTTTTAAATAAAAATTGAAAATGAATGTTTCTATATTTATTTTCCTTTTTATTTGTTCTAATTTTCTTCATCATATTTACGGGATGGATAGAGGTAAAATTTTTTTATAAAATTTGCATCATAACTAAAAGTTTGATACATCCCGTCATTAAAAGTAATCCTAAGCGGTTAGCATTGGTTTTAGCTCTAAGTTTTGTTCTGGATTTTGACTGCCCCTGGTTTGATCTACCGGGTTTCAGCGAACTTTTTATTCAAAAGTAATAATTCCTTTTTCCCGATGTAGTCAATTTCAATTTTTCTTTGACTGAACTATCTGTCTTGATTAGAATTTTAAAATCAATTTCTATTGAGGATTTGCATGATTTAAAAATTTTAGACGATTTGTCTAGTTTTATGAAAAATAAAACTGAAAATGTTTTGGAGGGGATTTATGAAAGATTTAATGAGGATTTTGGTGAAAAATTTTTTAAAGACATTAATGAGGTAAATTTATTAACTTATTAAATAATATTAAACTATTTTGACTAACTTTTCGAATGCAATGAATAGTGAGCAGGGTAAATAAAACCGGTAAAAATGCGGGTACATATGTATGACGTAAGACCAGCATGATGATGATGAAATAAGGGCAATTTTTAGGTTCGTATTCCCCCTCTTTTTTTCTGACCATTTTTTCATTTCCTTCCCTTTCTCCATTATTTTTCTTGAGGTCCAGGCTCTAAGAGCTTGGAATTCATGGTAAAACATGCAGATAACAATACCAACACATATTTACGTACCGAAATATTTTCCTAAATTTTTGTGGCGAAAACGATTCATGTTTCTTTTTTATCCTTTAAAAATTAGAAATATTTCTCATAAATCCTTTTTGATACCTGCCTCGTGAAAAATAGGGAAAAAGGGAAGGAAAAATGAAGAAATGGTCAGAAAAAAGGTGGGGGAATACGAACCGAAGAAATACAGAAATGGGCATAGCGCATATTATTATGAGATCCGATTATATGTATAATATTTAATTGTTTAAAAAGCTCGCTAAAAATAGTTGATTGAGTTTTGAACTATAATTTTGGCGCTGGTCTAGTTTATGCGTCCAATGAACTTTTATGAGTCCAATGAAAAGTTTATGAGTCCAATCAACAAAAAATTGGATTTTTCTTAGTATTGCAAAGTTGGGGTATGGTTCCAAAGCATTTTTTCATGTTCGTGACCTAAGCCCACTGGGTTTGGGACCATTCATTACTCTATACCTCGAAATTTTGGAAAGTTATAATCGTTTTTCAGAAATTTTTAAAAATTGGCTATAACTTACCGAAATTTCGAGAAACAGGGCAAGGAATGGTCCCAGACCCAGTGGGCGTAGGGCCCGAACATGAAGAAATGTTTTGGAACCATACCCCAATTTTGCAATACTAAGAAAAATCCAATTATTTTTTGATTGGACTCATAAAGTTTCAATGGACGCATAAACTAGACCAGCGCCATAATTTTTATATTTAAAAAGGTTATCAAAAACCACTCGCATAAATATAATAAAGAAATTGAAATAGATTTTATTTTAAATAAATTAATGGAACTCACTTCTGCAATGTCTTTAGAAGAATATGCAGAATTTTTAAATGATTGGGGAATACTCCAACAAAATCAGAATCC